TTTTAAAATTTTTTAAAAAACTGCTATCAAGAATCTTCTTAGCCATTGTCCATTTTAACTTTTATTTTGATTCTAGAATACTGCATCTCCCAGCTTCTCCCCACTATTATTTCTATATTTCTTATTTTTCTTTATTCTTACTACAGTCTTGGCTTCTGAGTAAGTTCCATCATCTTTTGAGTCTACTTTGGTAAAAACTTGGATCCCATTCTTATACTTTTTTGCAATGCTGGGGATCAAACCCACAACCTTACACATGCTGGGCGAGTGCTCTACCACTGAGCCACATCTCCAGCCCCCATTCGCTGAGCCACATCTCCAGCCCCCATTCTTTCTGATTAACTGTTACTGACAATGAGTGTCATTTCAAGGGCACGAACCAGGCCAAGGTGTTCTTTTCAGTATAACTTAATAACTTTCTAAATTCTTGGTTTAAAAAAGAGAAAAGAAACCGTAAAAAGATAATAGTTTTCTTCACATCAAGTTTTCCTATACTTGTCCGTTGCTGTGTAAGTGTGTAAGAGCAAATATATTAAACTAGAAATACATTTTCTTTGAAATACTGTAGGAATTACTGTTTTGAAAACCAGAAACCTGAAGGTAAAACAAAACAGTATCATTTTTCCCAGTCCCACCCTTTTCAAACTGCACTATATTAATTTAGACAAGTTACTAAGTATCTCTGAGCACTAGTTTGCTTTAGAAGAGATATGTGGTGGTACAGGCTTCTAATCCCAGCACTTGGGAGGCTGAAGCAGGAGGATGACAATTTTGAGACCAGACTGGGCTACACAGTGACTCTGAAGCTAGCCTGGGATTACAATAAATAAATAAATAAGAAATAACATACTAGATATTCAAGGCTAGTGAAAGTAGTAAGATAATATTCAGTATCTAAAACAATACTTGGGCATGAGAAGGTACTCACTAAAGGATTTTTTTTGATAAATAAATAAATGAATAAAAACATAAAACTTAATTTCTGGCATTCAGAAGATACTCAATGTACAATGCACAAGTGGAACTAAAATTATCACCTCAAGTGTCGTGCTTGCACAGGGCTCCTGTGCCTGTCCTTACCTCGGGAACATGTTTAATACCACATCCAGAGGTACCACCATGGTACCTACAACTTGATCACTACCATTCGTTCACACGGAGCCATGGCTTTGCTTTGTAAATTACCATTACAGGTGAATGGCTCATCACCCACTAGATTATGAACACACTGAGGCCAAGGCTTGATTCTCTATTTTTTTGTAGCTGCAACACATCTATTCATTCAACACTGATCTAAGTGTTGGTTATATAAAGCACTCCCCAATATTGATTTACATAAAATAAATGCTCCATAAATATGTTGACTGAACAGAAAACACTGGCTTATAGTATATGAAAGAAAGAAGAGATATAGAAGGCATTTTACTGTATTACATATAATATGTATGTAATCCTTAGACTCACTACCCAAGGTCTCAATTTCGAGTCCACTTCTGAGGAAGAAACTTGGTCTCATCAGAAAAAGTTCTCCTATCCAAGATCACCGAACCTCACTCAAGTTCTTCTCAAACATCCTTGTTCTTTCTTCCAAACTATCCTATCTCCTAGATGGGGATTTTCTAAACCTCATAAATCAAATTTAGTTACATATAACTGTTCCCAACATCTTTCATCTACTTGTTGTATAACAGCTACAATCAATACAAACCAGTTCATAATCTCCCACTACTGACTAATATCTGCATGTGTCAAGGAAATAATTTAATGCAGTAAAGAGAAACTCCTGAGAATATTCCCATTGGATAGAAAGCCCTTTACAAAATATAATCATTTATAGATCCCTTAAACTTTAAGACACATGCACATTATAAGTAATTCTCTCTAAATACAGGATCCTCACCTATATCATAATCACCCCAAATCCTTGTGAAGAATGAGTCTCAAAACAGTAGTAAGTATGGACAGTGATAGAGCAGACCTTCACCAGAAATTCACCTTATGAATACAATGGTCAAAGAGAAAGTGAGCCCAATCCATCACCCTTGCTAGATACAAAGATCAGGTGCTCCTTGATAGAGGCTGGAAAGCAACTTACTCACTTCCGAAGGCTAAGCATTTAATGGAATGCACTGTACTGTGCCCTATGTACACCATTATACACCATCATTTCCTGGCTCCCTGCCTTCCATGATTACAATTCTTTTCTACTGTTACAATGCACAATTGTTTTTAATATTATTAGCAGAGCTCAGAGCTGTGTCTACTCATGAGGTAAGGATTCAGGGAATTCCACAAAAGCAAAGACCTACTCTTTTGGAGTTAAGACTGTAGAGCTCATTAAAAACTGATTAAGTAGCCAGGTGTGGTGTCTCGTGCCTGTAATTCCAGCACTCAGGAGGATCGGGAGTTTGAGATCAGCCTGAGCTACGTAATGGTGTCTAAAAACAAAACAAAACAAAAAAAAAACTGGTTTAGTAACTAGAAACACTGCTGGAAGAATTACTCAGTTACCATCCTTGGGACTCCAAGGGTACCCTTGTGCCACACCACATAAAATAACTAATCTTATATATTCTCCCATTATAAATACATTTACTATAGTGTTGGATGAAATAGCACATGGTTCTTAAAAATAAAATAACAAGGGTTGGAAATGTAACAATAAGTAGAGTGCCTGCTTACCAAGTACAACGCCATGAGTTCAAAACCCCAGTACCACCACCACCAAAAAAAAAAACCAACCAATGGAAATTATTCAAGAACCAACTCTCAAATATTCAAGGAGTAATTAAATGGTGCATGTATTTCTTCCTTCCTCCACTACTGGGTTTTTGGATTCTTCGAACAATGATTAGATAATCTATAAGAGATATGAAATAAAACTAGAACATGTCAGGGTTTATTTTGTCATGTTTGGTATCATCAAATGGAAAACAATGACAAATAGTACTTGTGATTTTTTTCTATTTAGATTTCAGATTGTTGGCTATAATTAGCACACAGCAGGAACAGAGTCTAAAAAACCAGATGGGAAAAGCCCCATGTGGACCTTTCCCTAAATCCAGTCATTCCCAGGAATCATTTTCTGTCCACTCCCCAGCTACTTTAAATCCACCACTAACTACCCCAGTTACCTATTTTTTCATACTCTTTTCCCGGCAGACTCACTCAACCAAAATATTAATTACAGCACCTGAATTCCCCTCACACCAACTCTTCTACTTATCACCTTCCCATCTCCACAATTAGACATCATTTTCATATATTTCTTTCATTTAACACATCTAGTTATATATGATTCACCTGGATATCTTTTGGGCTTTGTATCTAGCACCAGGTTAGAACATGGTCCCTCCCCCCAAGGAGCCACTATTGTCAAAGATAAATTACCTTTTTCTCAAGAAAAGAAATACCAGTGGAGATGTTTTGATAGTATATATAATACATACCCCAGAATCCAATCTAAACATTTTAGTCAGGAATGAAATCACCATGTTCTGCCCTAGACAATCTAGCACTACAAAGCCTGGCTAAGTTAAAATGATAATATGACCACCACACACATGAGGAATTCTTTACAGTTCTCAAAATCTTATTCAAAAAAAAAAAAAGAACCAAGAAAAGTGTTTTTGTTCCTATTTTCCAGGTGGAGAAACCCTGGCTGACTGGGGGCATGGCTCAAATGGTAGAGTGCTTGCCTACCAAAGTTAAGGCCCTGAGTTCAATTCCAAGCACTGCAGAGAGAAGACAGACTGACAGATGAACAGAAATTCCAGGCAAAGAATGTAAAGTGACAAAATTCAATCATCTGATTCTCATTCCAGCATTCTATCCTCAGCCACAAGGACTTCCTGAATGAATTAAAAAAACACTGCCTTCAACTCGACATGCCTAATAATGAAACTCACCATCCTCGAGAACAGCCACTACTCTGCTTGAACCCTACTGCTGTCTGTGTGGTCTTCCAGTCAGTCTTCCCACTGTCTCTGCTGTGCCATCTACTCACTTGTCTGCATGAGCCACATCTATTTGTTTTGCTAATTACACTATTCAAGACAATCAACAAGCAGAAAATGACAATAAGCCACTATAAACAATCATGTTTATACTGGATATTATTCAGTTGGACTTCTAGACCACACCTGACCCAAACAGGACAATTAGTCCTCTTCATAAAAGGAAAGCTAATTTCCATTTCCTTTTGTTTTTGCCAAACAACCCTTTTATACTCAACAAAGAAAAGGTAGGAAAACAAGCAGAAGAAAAGGAATGACAAAAGAAAAAAGGCATAAATAATAGAAAGCAGTAAGTGGTACACAGGTCCTGAAATGTCCTACCCCGAACATAACTGTCCCTCTCTCTGTCTGAGAATGAACTCTGTCCAAAAAGTAGGTCCTAGATTACTTGGAGGTAAGCTAGTACCCTCCAAAATGAGAAAAAGATTACTGGACAACAGCTGGACTCCCTGTTGAGATATGTTCACCAGTTGAGAAGTCTATGCTAATGCACTGGAAGCAAGTACACCCTTATGACCTGCTATGTGGCCCTTCTCGATTTAACCCATAGGAATCCCTTAAATGTTATTTAAATACCCCAAATCTCTCATTTTAATTACAAAAACTTTACCATGACCGCAAAGATATTTAAAGTTCCAGAATCTTCCTTATCACTGTATACCTACATAAGATACATTTATTTACAATTGCTTTATTGCAGTTTTCTCACTTTTTCAATTCCAAAGAATAATACAATTTGCTTTTGATAGAAAACAGATGCTAAAATACTAAGAATCTAATAAGTAAGCCAGGACAGTCTCACTTTTCCTAGTCTTTCATTTAACCCTCCATCATACATAGTGTCAATATGTTCAGGCCTTCAAAGCAGCCCCCACAAACATGTTTTTCTGCTAATCCTGTCCCACACTCTCCTTCCTGATTTCCAAATGCAGCTTTTATCAGCTCAAGTATATCAGGCAATTTATCTTCAAAAGCCAAACTTACCTTGTGGTGGTGACAAAAGACAGAACTGTCTGGTGGTCTTCACAACTGTTTTGTACCCCCAAGACTTCTCTTTAAGGATCTAGCATAGATTTTAAAAGAGGAAAGGTAAAAATCAAAGTACTGTCATAAAAAAGCCTTCATATCCAAAATCCACAATTATTAAATTTACATTCTCAAACACTGACGTGTACAATTTCATACCATATCACTCTGTATACTAAAATAAAACAAACTAGTTCTGAATGAAGGGAAATTGATTTATCATTCATCTCATACCCATATCCTAAATTCACCCCATAAAATCTCTCACTGTAGCTGAGAGTGCTTAATACCAGCACTCAGGAGGCTAAGGCAGGATGATGGTAAGTTCAAGGCCAGCCTGGGCTACAGAGTGAGCGCCTGCCCCAAAAAAGAAAAAAAAGAAAAAAAAACCTCAATGTATGACAGGCAGGTAAAAGTAGTACAGGAATCACTTTAATTTCCCTCATTTTTTATCATTAAAATTAAAGATACCTTACAGAAAACTCTAGCAAAAAAAAAAAAAACTTTGTAAGCAGTTTTTACCTATATATTTAAGAATTTTAAATCACACATTACACAAAGTATTCAGAAATAATTTTTTACCCAGTGAAAGAAAATTATGCTCTTATGACTGAGGGACTACTTATTTTATGACTATACATATATGTACATAGATACATACGTACATATATGTATATATATGCAACTATATCGCTAAGAAATTAAATACTAGCCTTAAGATATGTTTATCAATAATAAAATGATCAGCTCACATTAAAGGCAAATCTCAAATGTTTTTCATTTTTCAAAGTTTTAAAACATACTTTATTTTGTATTTATTAACACTCAAAATTAAATCATTTGCTGTGCCTCGTGATTGAAAACTTGATCAAAGACTCTGACAACTGTGAACTGTAAACACAAAAACAATTGCTTACTATGCAGGGAGTGCCCAACCTCAAATTCCAGAATATAAGCAGAGTGGTTTTTTTCTCACAGAAGCAATGAAGGACGGAAACTACGGGGCCTGAATGCTCAGAATTCACTGTTCTCGGATTTACCAAACTTTCTGATCAGCATCCCTTTCACACAACATCTGGCTGCTCGCTCAGGTCCCCTAATTACTTCCACGTCTGAACGGACTACGTAGCTACAAGTAAAGGCCAAACTTTGCTCTCGGCCTTGCGAACTTAAGATGCGTTTAACCACTAGAGGTCTCCCCTTGGCCAGTTTTGCACGTTCGCTATTTTGCTGCACTTGAAACTTTCCGGAGAAATGCTCTCTACTCGAGTCAGTGTTTTTCTAAAAACTTGCGCAAAAATCCACGCGACCGAGATAGCCAGTACAGAGATTCCCGGGATCCCAACATCCATAAAGACATCACAACAACGATCTAAGAAAATCAGTATGAAAATTCGACGCACTCGCCCCAGCCGACGACCCCCAACCCCAAATTCTTATTTCTCATCTCAGTTTCCCTTAACTTGGAACAATTAAAAATCTATTTTTGTTTCTATGCACTTTGTATGCTCTCGAAGGCATTTTTCTGGCGGTGGCCCCGAGGTGGCAAAGGAGCGGGCCAAGGGATGCAGAGGGGTGGGGAGGCCGTGCTCACGGCGCCCGAGGAAGTTGCATAAGGAAAAAGGCTCCGTTTTTCGGGTCCCCTCAAAAAAAAAAAAATCGGCGGGGAGGGGGGAGGAAAAGGAAGCGGGGTGGTGGCGGCAGGGGGACTGAGAAGGGAAACCGAAGCGACGTTTACCTCCGTCTCCCCGTGGAAGGGTGGGGCGAGAGCCCTGCTCCACGCGACCGGGGGAGTGCGGCTCGGTCCCCCGGCCTCTCTCTGAGCGCAGCCGGACAAACAGACACCCCCACCCCTTCGCGGGAAAGGCGGGGAGGAAACCGCCTGCGTTTAAACTTTCTCTCACGGTCGCGCTGTGGGCCGTGTTCTGGCCAGAACGAGGTGTTTGAAATCATAGGGCCCCTTTATTTTTTTGAAAGGTAATTAAAGTTTTACCACCAGTCCCGAAGTTGCGCCCTGCCCCCGCCCGTGCCACCGCGCCCCCTCCCCTGCCAGGGCTCTCAAGTTTTCCTCCTCCTCCGCCCCCCACCGGCTCGCGGGGCGCGCGGCGGATGCCTCCGCTCCTGCGCTTCCCGATCCCCACCCCCGCCGGCCTCTACTTCCCCCCGCCCCGCCGCCGCGGCGCGAGGACGGCCCGCCGGGCCCAGGACGCGAGTGTGCAAAGCCCATTATTCCGGAACGGCACACGCACGCGGCGCGAGGCGGGCGGCGGCCCGACCCCGGCCCCGCTCGCCTCCCCAATATAAGGCAGGCGTAAACAAGTTGCAGGAAAGGCAGCCCCGCGCCTCCCTCCCCCCCTCACCCCACCCCACCGCAGCCCCGCCGTGGCCACCGCCACCGCCGCCGCCGCCCGACACACGCCCGCGCCCGCACCCCGCCGGCGCGGCACGGCACGGCACGGCACGGCGCGGGGCGAACGCCGCGACGGCGCGGGCTCCCGGCCCCGGCCCGCGGCCCGCGCCCTTCCCGCGCGGAGACGGCCGCCGCGGGCCCGCGCCGCCTCGCTTCCCGAAGCACTTTCCTGCCTCGGGCAGAAATAAACCGGAGGGTTTATTTTTGTGCAACTTTCCCAAAATGGCGGAAATTGGAGCTGATCTATATGAAATTCTCACACACTCGGTCGGAAAGGGGGAGGCGGCGAGGAAGCAAACGCAAACTCTCGGCCGCCGAGCCCCGCCGCGGGTCCGTGTGTGTGCGTGCGTGTGAGTGTGCGTGTGCGCGGTGGGAGTCGGGGAGGCCTTTCCGCCGCGCACACACAGCACACGCCGGGAGACGCGCCTGCACATTCAACCAGTCCATTCTCCGCAGCCCGAGCGGGGAGAAAGTGGCCCGGCCTCTTTTCCCACTGCCTCGGTCTCCCGTACTTGTACTTCTCGCGCTCGCTCGCTCGCTCTCCGGTGCGCGCCCGGCACAAAGGCCACACGGGCGGAGGGGGCCGCAGGGGCGGCGCGCGGGGCTCGCGCCTCCCGCCGCACCGATCCGCGGCCCCGGCCGCCCCCGCGCCCCCCGCCGGCGCCCCTGCCTCGGCGGCCGCGCTCGCCGCCCGGGCTTGCGGCTCCGCGGCGCCCACCCGGACACGCACCCCGGCGGAGCCCCGGCGCCGCCGCGCTCCCCCACCCCGCGCCCGGTGTCATGAAAGCGACCAAAGTGACAAGCTCGGGGGGCGCGGGGGAGGGGGCCCACACGCATCCCGCCGCCTGCGCGCCGGGGAGAGCCCGACGCGGCCGCCTCGCCCCGGCTCCCTTCCGCACGGCCCCCCACACCCTTCCCCGTGTGCGCGCAAAGAAAAAATACAAGTCTCTCCTCCCCCCATTTTTTCCTTTCTCTTTTCTCTCTCTTTTGTTCCTCTTTCACACTCGCACTCACTACTTGAGAGTGAGATGCCCAGAGACTCCCCCTCCAGCCGTTTCCGAGTCACTCGCCCACTTTTTTCCCCGGGATTAAGTTTTCTCCTGTTTCCCAGAGGCGCAGAGAAGTGGGGGAGAAACCCCTTCTGTCCTTCCCCTCCCCTGATCTGTTTCACAAGACGAGGGTGCGCTTCCTTCCCTCTCCAGACCTCTTAACTTTCATCCTCCCCCAGAAAAATAAATGAATGGCTCTGGCACGGACAAATCTTCAGATTAATTAGAGATTAGATCCGATCAACCGCTTCTTACCCCCAAATTTTCTCTTTTTTTTTTCTCCGTCTCACGAGTAGTCCTGACAAATGGTCCAGGGCTGCGGGCGCAGTGCGCATGTGCGCGTAGAGTCAGGGCTGGGGAGAGGGGAAACTGCGCTGGTGCCGGTGCCGCCGCCGCCGCCGCCGCTGCCGGGGAGGCTCGCGCTGGCTTCCCTGTTACTGCTGCTGCGCCTTCGCCGCTGGAAAGCAGCAATCAAGCCACTCGGCAAATGCGGCTGCCCGCAGATACTGTTTCAGGTGCATCTTTTCGCTCTCCTTGTCACCGGTTCGGAGCTGGTTCAAGAACAGTGCAAACAAATGGGAAAGACGTAGGGTTTATCGATTTCTTTGTCTGTTTTTCACTTTACTTTTTTCAAGGCAATTCTTCTCCGAGCAGATAATCCACTGCGTGCTGCTAAATGCATGCATTCAGCCATTAAAGAGTGGGCCTCTCAGTCTTCCACCAACGCTACCCAAAGGTTTAATACATGCTACAGGTCATGAAAAATAAGAAAGTTTGAAGCTTTTACGGAGTTCAATCTCTCCCTCTCTCAGGACTAGAAGAATGCATAATAAAGTAGGCAAATAAAACTCACACGTCCTTCCCGCTTCCTAGGTGTGGATCTGTAATTGACAGCTTCTTGACAGGTTAGGCCTCTGTTGTGAGAGATGCTCTCAGAGTCCTACCTGAACTTAAAAATCACCGTTAAAGTACTTTAGCAATAAGCAGGTCCGGGACTACCCTCTTAATGTACTCAGTCAAGATGGCTGAGCCGTCCTAAAGAGCAAAACCTGCCTTTGTCAACGCGTCCAAACTAGATCAAGAGAGTATTGTATTTCAATATTGACAGCTTTCTGCTTATTGACTGCAGTCTTGTCTTCTTAGGCAGCTCACCATTGTCCTTTTCCCCTGCATACGAATACGGACAAAATAATTCAAGTAATTAAAGTTGTGATAAATATTGTGAGGCCAATAGGAGAGTTTCCTGTGCGAGAAAAAAAAAAGTAGCACTTGTGATTTTAGAAATGGTGAAGCAAGTCTTCTACTTTGCAGAGGTGGGAAGGTAAGGAGAAGCCTCCACCCCCAGAGTGGAATATTTATTTTGTATCTAATAAAGGGTAAAGGAGGCCTTTTTCTGAAATTGTTGCCTGAGGCCTAGAATTTAAATATATCACAGATGGAAATTTTGTATTAAAAATCCTTCTTCCAAAATGTAATATTATTCTTGATTGAATTTTTTCACTTAAGGAATGTTCCTTGAACCAGTTTCAGAAAATAAACTGTTAAATTCTTTCCTCAGGACCATGAAATTACCCTAGAGAAGAAGAGACCACCCAACTATTTCTTCTGTTGGTATAGTGATCAAATTCTCCAAACCAAAAATCAAGGCCTATGGCTTGACCTGTACTTCGGAACAAAGGTACAAACCCTGCAAAACTGAAATGAGCGTGTAGAATATGCTTATGCAGGCTTTGGTTCAGGAGTGGGAAGGAGGGAATGCTGAATTAGTGAGAGCTGCAGATAATCCCAGCCACCAGTTACCCCTGACTTCGCCCACTACATCGAGCCTTTTCCAGCACTGCTCTCAAGCAGTTTATTAACAGCTAGAATTTTCAACTTCTCTCCTTTTCTTCCTAGCTCTTGAATAATAAGCAGCAAAATGGCCAAAGACAAACTACAGGAGAAAGAAAGGACGGCCATGAGTTTGTGTTAAACTCAGATTTTGCCCCAAAAGAAACAAAAATTAATTTTAGATTTCTCTTTCTAAAAATTCATCTTAGATTTATTCTCTCTGGAGGGTTGGGGGCCATGGCTCAAGTACTTGCCTAGCAAGCATGAGGCCCAGTCCTGAGTTCAAACCCCAGTACTGCCAAAAAAAGAAAAGTGAGATTTATTAACTCTGTGTAACTACTGGTATTATTTCTACTGTGTATTTTTAGAGCTGTTGGTTCGACAGTCTGTAAATATGTATGAATGGCCTACCTGCCTTTCTAAGCAAGGTGGGGGTGATAAACAGATGATCAAAACTAGGCCTTCGCCATAAGAAATTCAGTCAGGTGAGAGAGACCGTAGTAAATTGGGCATTATATTCTGCTGTGCTAAATGTTATCGTAGTATATATTATAGTTCGTGTTTCCCTGAAGTGATGGTTAAGGTGACTTGTGAAGAACATGCATCCAGGATGTATGATTCCCCCTGTTCCCAGAAGATGTCTAAAAAGAGGAAACAATCAGAGAATGCCAGATAAAGGCCCAAGGGTTTAGAGAACAAGGTTTGAAAACTTGCACTGACTGAGGTTCACCAACAAAAATAAAGATGACTTGGGTGGGGTATGGTGGTACATCTCTATAATTCCTGCTATGCAGGAGGCAGAAGCAGGAACTCCAAGGCCAGACAGAGCAAAAGTGCAAAACCTTATCTGAAAAATAAACTAAAGCAAAAGGGCTGGGGGGTGTGGCTCAAGTGGTAGAGCACTTGCCTAACAAGCAAGTCCCTGAGTTCAAAACCTCAGTACAGCCAAAAAAATTTAAAAACAAATAAGGATAGTTTGAGGCATTCTATAATATATTGTCTTTCTGCTCCAGATATCATCATTAAAATTTCAACTCAGTTGTTCCCAAGATATGATTCTGACAGTGATCACCTATAAGAATAATGACTTTATAGGCTGCTATCAAGCTACCAATTTTTTTTCTTTTTACAAAGAATCCTTTTTACCAACATTTGAGACAGAGGCAGAATACACCATTAGAATGTTGACAACATCATTGAATTCTTCATATAAATGTGTACCTTTTTTTTTTTTTTTGCAGAACTGGGGCTTGAACTCAGGGCCTACACCTTGAGACACTGCACCAGCCCTTTTTCATGATGGGGTTTTTTTTAAGATAGGGTCTTCCAAACTATTTCCCCAGACTGGCTTTGAACCTCAATTCCCCTGAATAGCTAGGATTACAGGCATGAACCACTGGCACCCTGCTAAATAGGTACTTTTGACAAGACCTTTTACCTTCTGTTCCTGAAATGGTAATATACTAGTAGAAGCTTCTTTACTCATACCGTCACCTTCCCCCATTCAGTGCTGGTTAATGATTCATGATGAGTACTTTTCTTTCCAGTATCATTTAATCTCATCATTCTCTCTCCCTCTTCCCCCTTTCTCATCCTACCCTGCCTCCACCCCACCACATGTGAATAGCAAATCCATCTTCCACACCCAGAACTACGACTTCCTTCACATCTCATACTAAGGAATTAGCTCCCTCTTTTATTGTTCTCTGTAGTTATTTATTTATGCCAAAGCTGTCACACCCCCAAAATGATTTCAGATTACTCCATTCCTAAATATGCCGACCCTAATGTCATCTTATATGGAGACTGTTTTAAGAAATCACCATACTCACTCTTTAGTCTTTTTGAGGCTGCTCATCAGCCCCCAGATGAAGGTCATTCAGAACCTCTGACCGTATTCCATCCTGTGATCGCCATGATCCACAAATTAAAAGTGCCCAGGAGTAAAACCCAAGAAGGTTGGACTCTGATCTAGTTAGTTCTGCCACCACCACCAGGAACCATGTAGCAGGTCACCTCATGTTTTAGAACCCCAATTCTTTCCCTAGTCTGACAAGGAAAACAGAGTAATTGATTTCTGATCTCTTTGAAAATCATGTCTTTCCCTCCCCCTCCCACTGTGTCACATGTTAGTACAAATACCATAGGACCGAGAAAGGGATTTTAAGTAAGGAGTGAAGATTTATCCCTCTGCTAGGTATCAGAATATTATCAATGGGACTTCGGCTGAGGCCGAATTGCATATTTGAAACTAGCCTGGGCTATACAGCAAGGCCCTGTCTCAAAAAAAAAAAAAAAAAAAAAAAAAAAAGAGCATTATCAATGAATAGCTCATTCATTTGGCTTAAGCTTGTACTAATGAGATAAAGGCCATAGATTCCATTCCCCAATGGCTAGTTAGATTTGATCTGTTTCATAGCCACAAACTGCTTTCCTAACCCAGGACCCCATGTTGCAATGTGTGCTCTTGGTAACAAGTCTTAAAGTAAACGAATCTTTCTAGAAAAATTGTCTAAATGACCAGTACTTAAAATCATTCTTTTTAATGTGTTATTTTACTTTTAAGTATGAGTCCAGTTACTGAATTTTGTAGCCTACGTAACTGTGTACTCCATGTTTTTCCAAGTATAACAATGGTGTTAACATTGATTTGGCCAAGATTCTTATTATTGATATTTGTAAGAGTGATCATTCCTGTCAGTGTTCTAGATAACACTGAAAAGTAGATATAGGTAGTTTAGTTTTAATTCTGATTCTCTTTCTTGTGACACATCTAAGTACAGAGCTTGTGACAGTGAAATGTAACTGAAATATTGAGGGTAAGTTAGTGATGGAACACACGTATAATTCCTTCAGTAAGGAGGCCAAGGCAGGAGAATCTTGGGGTTGAGGCCAGCCTGGGCTACATCTACATACCAAGATCCTGTCTAGAAAAAGGAAGGAAAGGAGAGGGAAAGAAGAAAAGAAGGAAGGGAGGGAGGGAGGAAGAAAAGGACAGAGGGAGGGAAGAAGGGAGGAAAGAAGGAAGGAAGGGAGGAAGAAAGGGAGGAAATTCTGAGGATAAAAGAAAAGGGGTGCATTGTTTATCAAGTAAGGAAACAATTATATTCAAGTGGTACAGCACCTGACCAGCAAGCTTGAGGCCCTGAGTTCAAACCCTAGTAGTGCAATAAATAAATAAATAAAAAGGAAACAATTATATGTACCATATTATAAACAGCTTGAGAAAATTAAATATATAAAAGCCTCTAGATAGACATGAATATTTATTATTTCATTTAGATACAAAGATAGTAGAAATCAAAGTATTACTGACATTTAAAAGAGTGGAATAATATAGGGCTGTAAACTGACTTCTAAATTTAAAAGAAATACTGTTTTTTTACTTTTCATAACACACTCACTTAAAAATCTAAATCCAAAAGCCTGATAACTATATAATATTAGCAGGGACAAGTCAAACTTCAGAACACAGCTGTGACAATATCCCCTAATTCCCTTAGAA